CGGAAGAGAGATAAAACTGTATGTGGCAAAGTGCACTTAAGTGCTTAAATTGTGGACTCAGAAGTCCTGGAATGCTTCACACCCAAGTCTTTAAGGATGAACATAAAGCAGACTTTATAAGGAAGCCTGCGGAATTTATTTCAGGAAACAATTTCTAGAACTTATTTAAACTGACTAGACACAAGGTAGTGAGGTTTTTCCCTTATTGCTCTGCACAAGCAAAAAGAGCCAGACAGAAGAACGCTGCAACTAGGATCACTTAAAGAAAAAAAAAGTTGGAGAGACAGCTTCTCTTTAAAATATTTAACTCTGCTTTGGCCCCAAGCAAGTAGACTTTCTGAAAGCTAGCGTCAACTTGCTACATGCTACTGTGTTTCAGGAAGTTACGTTTTTGTTTCTGTTTTTGTTTCTGTTTCTCTGAAACTCATTGGAAAGGTTCCTCTACATGAAACTACAAAAATATAAGCCAGTGAAGTTCACGTAGCGGGTTTAGCAGCATCAGTGCAACCTGTTCCTAACAAATTTCCATACATCTTCGAGTGTGCATATACAACTTGTCTGTATACAGACATGCTAACAAGTGGCAGGTGGCCGGTTTTGTTAACAGGAGACAAGCCTTTGTGCTTAGAACACCACCATGACTCTTGACTCTTAAGTGCAAGTGTGAGCAAAATCCCTTAGGCATGCCTACAGGTTGATGCTCATATTCCAAATGGGAGAAAGAAACCAATTTCAGTCCAGAAGCTGTCCATTAGTTTGAAAGTAGTAAACATATCTAAGCTCTGCTCCAATACAGCTACTTTCCACCTGTAAGCTCCAGAGATAATACCACTTCCTTTCCACATAACAATGTTGAGGACACAAACATGCTAGAGATCATGAAGTACCCTAGAAAAAGGGACCAGAGAAGTACTGATATCAAAGAAAATGTTTACCTTACTGTATTTCTTGCAACACTACCAAAATCTCACTTTCAGATGAGATTTAAAATAACAGTTTAAAATTGGTTCTACTCAGCTGCAAAAATATATGGATGTAATTACACAATTACCTGCAGAGCTTGAATTTTACGAGCCTCTTCTTGCTGAATAGTGTTGGCCATACTCCCCTTCATCTCATCCAGTATAGAATATAGGCCATCAAATTCTTCATCCAACTCACTGATTACATTGGAAGAGTTTACCTGTAAAGACAATTGAAATTGCTGCAGTTTGTACTGGAAACATAGCAGAATAATCTTTTAGAATGAAAGTCTCATTGTTTGCCCAAATATACTTTGCTTTGACCACCAGATATCTTGTCGCTGCTCCTCACCTTATCGAAAACAAAAAAACATTAGGAACAATGGTCACATCCTAAGCAGACTTTACACCAGGACACTGCAGAATGAAATCCGTGAAAACTCCATGATATACAAATTTGCACAGAACCGACATACTTGACAATTTTATTCCATGCCAAAAGGCCTTGATTTCCCTCTCACCGCTGTATATGGATTGCTAGATATTCGTAAGGAGGTAGTTCTCCAGTACCATCTAAAATGGTTTCATTTAAACTGCACTCATGAAGCCAGCTTAATGTTCTGATGGATTACTTCCATTTCTGCCATTAAGTTGGCTTAGGGTTTATTGATATGCTAAAGAAATATAAACTTCATCCCAGTGCAGGTGCTCTAAAAATTAGGTCTAGTGTCCAACTTAAGCCCAAAAATTTGCAACTAATGAAAAGAGAAAAAGCAAAGAATTTTTTCTCAGTTATGAGGATGGTCTCATTTTTCCCAGTCTGTCAGGCAGACCAAGCAGTCCACCTAACACAAATTTGAGATCTTGCATTAAAATTCAAATTCTCTCTTCTACACAAATTAAATGCTATGATAGCTTTTCACATGAGAAGCAAAACCATACCTTTCTACTAGAGACAGACCTACCAAATATTTTTTATATTTTTATATTCATATTTTTTTAATCTGGTTTCAACAAGAAGATATATTTTAAACTTAATTCTTATAGTACACCCTTTACATACTACCCAAACAGTTTGCTCCCCTCTCAGCTACAGCCTACAAGGCTTATTATATATACCTGAACATTTTTTATTGTATGGTTCAGCATGTCAATGAAGTTGTGAATTTCATCATTTTTGTTCGCTAGAGTAGAGACAATCCTTTGCAGAGTCTCCTAGAATTACAAAAACAAGTGAGAGAAGTTGTAAAAGAACCTTGTAATTTTTTTAACCATCACCATTTCAACATACATGAAAAAAAAAAAGTAAAACCTGTCTTAACCATAATTAAGACATTATTAGTCGGTTGTACTTAGAATTTCAAGCTGCTCAGCCTAACATTACTTGACAACATTTAGGAAATTAAGGCAAAGGGAACTAATAAGCACATCTTAAAAACAGTCAGACCACCAAAAATATGTTGCAGAGGTCCCTCCCATAAGTAATTTCTTAATAACCATTTACGACTTGTTTGCTAAAAAGCAAGAAAAATATTTTATCCATTCGCAACATCCACAGCAAACCTCAACATTATGTCCCATAGTCTAAGGAATCTCTCGGTTACCCTAAGGATGCTCACACATTCCTCAGTTTTCAACAAACTTGAAGTGATGTATTTATCGGTATTTCAGCCCGCTGTCTGTTCGCATTGCATCTACACTCACAAAGTTAAACCACTAGCAAAGAAAAGTGAAATTTTCCTGCTTTTACCACAGGCATTGTGATGATGGTGTTACGTAAAGATACTAAGGACCAGCCAGCAAGGACTGAAATTAGGACTCTGAGTAAGAGAAACAAGAACAGATTGGTTTCTTTTAGAAACAAAGAGCATAGCAAGTCTTGATTGATTCAACACAGAATCTTTTCATTGTCTGTTTAAAACTGAGCGTGTTTAAAGACAATTTTGGGCACATTAGAATGGCAGATGAAATGCCATTGTCCAGCCACCGCTGTCCAACCAGCTGCTTCTGCATTCACTACTGATCAGAGGCAATTGTTTTTGCATGTCAGCCCACAGTTAAGCCTTAGATCCTATAAACATAACTGTCAATTTGGATGAACGAGAAAACTCCCAATCCTCTTTCAGCTAGGATTTTAGGGCCTACTTACACAAGGGGGAAAAAAAAAAGTATTCTCATGAACAGTAGTGAACAATGGTTTGGAGATTTACAGCTACATACAATATAAAAGAAAAGATCTACCTGTGAGGAACGTTTAGAAAGCCTTTATGCAGCCAAACATATGGCAGGAACTGGAAGGTAGCTGTCACATAAGGCTTCCCCCTACATCTAAAGTTGAAGTCAATTGATCAAACACAGATCAGTAGAGTTCTTTGTAACTAAGCCACCAACTTCTCCAAACAGAAATTCCACCAGGTTTGGTCAAGCTCAAACAAGTTTAAACACCTTCAACAAACACATATTGAAGAGGCCTAAAAATATCCACTACGAGCAGACAGAATTTTTCTCAAACGTCAGTGCACAAGCCACCAGAATAGGAAGTCAGCTTTTAGGAATCACTAACATATAACGTTTTCTAACACAATTTTCTAATCACCAATAGGTAATAAAAAGAGTTTTTTCCCAAACATATCAAGGCACATGCCAAATTCAAAACACTGCACTGCTGTGTTCCTTTAACAGGAATTTCTGAAAAGTCACTATACTTCCTTGTAACAGAGAGGGTGATAGAAAAAATTCCAACGCAAACAGTAGAAGAGGCTTAGATTCTAAGTTACTTCATAGAAGAACTACAACAGCACTAAGCTCAGTAAAGCTTCTTGTTTTTTCTACACTGGAGGAAATTTAAATCTATTGCCTGCTGATGGATGTGGTATCTCATAGAATCTCATTACAAATAATTTTGGTGTAGTTTCCTCTCAGCCTAGCATGGGTTAAATGAGGTCAGTTTTGAATTTATTTTCTAAACATTATGGCATGTTTGTCACATATTAGCAAGCTTCATACTCAATTTTTATGCCCTGCTCTTCTGTGAATCTAATATACTCTTTGCAGTAAAAAAATAAAATACGCATGGCATTTGTAAAGCAACAATGTGGATAAAAATGGATGAACATAAAAGGATATGAGAAAAGACAGAAAGCCTTGCAACATGTGGTGGCTTGCAGTCTTTTCAGAAGCGTAACAGTAGACAATATATCCTTCTTTGAATAGCTAGTAACTAACATCACATAGCACCTGTTGAAACAGATGGGCACCTCATGAAAGAGTACACTCATGAAAGAGTAAACTTTGATAAATTAAACAAGTTCTGTTTAAGAAGCAAATTATCAACCTGATCAAGATCATACTAAAGTCTTATGACATGACTGAACGCAGAGCAGTTTCTGTAGCAGCCTCAGGCCTAGGGGTAAAATCCTGTGTCATACTAACCTTCACGTGCAGTTTGAATTTCAAACAGGAGGGCATATTCAGCCTTGGTTAATTTAACCTTCTGCACTTTTCCATACACTGAAGTTGCTAGAGTCTGAAGGAGTACTTAAGACAATACAGGTGGCAACAGCAAATCAACAAAGTATTGTAAAACACATGATTAGCTACAATTTTACTCCTGCATTCAGAACCTCTAAGCAGCACTGAAATTCAAATATGATAAAGGGTATTACGCAGAAACTTCCACCTAGAGCATCCACAACAAATGCAGCCCTTATTTACTCGGAGTGACTAATCCCACATAAAGCAGGCAAAGAGAAAGAGACTCAAATTCACACAGTATCTACCAGAAGCGCGCTTTATGGACATTTCACTTTCCAAAGTACAGATGAGTAAGAAATGGCAGTGTACAAATGCTGAAGGAAAACTGAGAAATGTCTGTGATCTGTAAATTTAAAGGCATTAATACCGCTAGCCACCAAAACCCTACTCACAAACCCGTTTCCAAGTTAAGGAAAGCACAGTCTTCACAGAGACAGTAACAGAAGCCCTCTTGAAAGCCAAAAGGCTGAGTCAGAACTTTTTGCAGAGTATCATTTTTAGAAAGCGCAGCACTTGGCCAGGCACATCTCTCTCCTCAGTGATTTAGGGAGAAGCCAAGTAAGGGAACGTTTTTTGCGCACCAGCCATAGGAAAAATAAATAAATAAACAACCAAAGAAACACACCCCCCCCAAAAATGCTTTTATTAATTAGTTCCCTTCAACACAGGATTACATCAGCGGGAAACAGAAGGGCCTGTGCAAGCACCGTAATTACTCCTGACAGGAACACACAGCACGGAAGCGGTCTGCACCAGAGCCCCGCTTCATTAAGAC